TCACTTTCTTGCAAACTTCAACCCTGTGTTATTCCTCCTGTCAATTACCGAGTTTCTTCTATTTTATTGTGCTCGTGATTTTAGGACCAAAAGGGATTTCCCGAGGAATTATTTCCTGTGAAGATGTATGCATTGACTACGGAGGTGCCCAGGAGGATTTCTCGTGCCAGAAGGGAACAAATCAATAGACCTGGAGTTATCAAGTGAGGATCTTGATCCCATTTCTATCCTTTCTGAATGAGTCAGTTGCTGTGATTTGGCTAGCAATGATACATTTGTGTTCGGTTACTTTTGAACCTTATTTGTTTGTACAGATTTCATGTTTTAGATATCTTGAAGTGATAAGTATGACCTATCTTAGTCTTTGTCAACTGTCTGTTATTGATTGTTGAATACTCTCGTTTGAAAGATATGAACAAAAGAAAATTCCAAAACCCAAGCTAGTTTTAGAGAATGGTTTCTTGGACCAACTTTGTATTCCTATTTTTCCATTTCAAGAATTGTTTCAAAAGATATCTGCCCGATCTGCAGTGATCTAAATCCCTGTTATTTATACAAACTTACAAAATCTAGTTACCACATAGCTAAGGCAACTAATGGGATAATTAAAGCTTAATTGCTCAAATCCCTGAGATAATATAGGAGCGAACACCAGAAGAAAGGAAAAGGGACGTTTTTGAATTTTAGTGTAGTAGAAGATGGATCACTCAGCCAATCTGATATTCACACATCAAAGGCTCTCACCTCTGCCATTAGAATCAAATGCTGCTGCAACAGATGGAATGCTCTGTTCATATCTGAAGAAGTTGCCCGGATTCACCATGGTCTTCACCTCCACCAATCTGTCAAAGCTTCCCTTGAAATACTTTCTTCCCCAACAGCTTGCGTTGCCATTTCCATTCACCCCCAGATCCACGTCTCTGTAGCTCAGATAAGCACTTCTAGGCGATTTTCCTCATCATTCCTTCCAGATGTGGCTTGGAGATTGGCTCTTGAACGTAGTCTGATTGCTTCTTCAATAATTTTTCAGAGTTGGGTTGCCTTCCGAGCAAGACATTGAGAGGAGTCCCAATGGGGTAGTTGGACCAGAACAGAACAGACTCGATCCAGCTCGTTTCTATCGTTCCAAGGCCTTCACACCCAATTCAGGAAGAGTGTTTCAGACAATAAGGAAAACAGCTTCTGTGCACTTCCTAGGAACAAGGATATTAAGAAAACTAATTATGTTGGTTTGACTAACTTTTCTATTTATGAATTCAATTTTATTATCATTAATATACTCATTATATTACAAATCCAACCTTATTCGGTAAATAAAAACATAATTATCTTCCTAATTGTTTTAAAATTGAGATAAAAACAAGAAAATAATTTTAAGAGAATATTTCTAAAAGAAAAAAAAAAGTAAAAAAGGAATAATATTTATTCTCTCTCGTTACAAAGAGAAATAGTGATCGTTTCTTTGGCTAGAGGGGCTGAATTGTAATTTTGCACCTGCTCTTCTCTGAAGTCCTTAAGGCTAGGGTTTTTTCATCCGCCTGCCTCTCCTGCTGCTCCCTGGTGCCGCTCGAACTCTGATTTTGCCTCTTCCTTCGGATCCGAGAAACTCTATCCGATTACAGATGGTCGGAGGCTTTGAAGTGGGAGCTGTTCCCTACAACCCGGACGGTTGGGGTCCGCCGGACTCCACCGCTTCTCTCGTCGCTTCCTCCAACCTCCCTCTCAATGTTCCCTTCGCTCCCTTCTCTCGCTCCGATAGGCTTGGCCGGATCGCTGATTGGACCCGAACTATGAATAACCCTGGTCGCCCCAAGACTGCTTCCGATTCCGTCTTCGACTTCACCAATGACGATTCCTTCCCAGCCAATGCTGACGAGGACATGTCCTTCCGTTTGGTTGATGGAAAGCCTCCTCCGCGTCCCAAATTTGGCCCTAAATGGCGATTCAACCAACAAAGGACGCAGCTACCTCAGCGCCGTGACGAAGAAGTTGAAGCTCGGAAGCGCGAGGCTGAGAAGGAGCGGGCTCGCCGTGATCGTCTTTACAACCTCAATAGGTCTAATGTCAATGCCCCCCGTCGTGAAGCTGCAGTTTTCAAATCCTCTGTGGAAATTCAACCCGAATGGAACATGCTTGATCAGATTCCCTTCTCCACGTTCTCGAAGCTGTCCTTCTCTGTTCCTGAGCCCGAAGACCTTCTTCTGTGCGGCGGGCTAGAGTTCTATGATCGTGCATACGACCGAATCACTCCCAAGAACGAGCGCCGCCTTGAGCGCTTCAAGAACCGCAACTTCTTCAAGGTAACTACTACAGACGACCCTGTCATTCGTCGTCTTGCAAACGAGGACAAAGCCACAGTTTTTGCTACCGATGCCATCCTTTCTTCCCTTATGTGCGCAACCAGATCGGTTTACTCCTGGGATATTGTGGTTCAGCGTGTTGGGAACAAGCTTTTCTTTGATAAGAGGGATGGGTCGCAACTTGATTTGCTTCCCGTCCACGAGACTTCTCAGGAACCCTTGCCAGAAGCGAAGGACGATATCAATTCAGCTTACTCACTGAGTGTTGAAGCTGCTTACATTAATCAGAACTTCTCGCAGCAAGTTTTGGTTAGGGACGGAAGTAAGGTGGCCTTTGACGAGCCAAACCCATTTGCAAATGAGGGTGAGGAGGTCGCTTCTGTTGCTTATAGGTATAGGAGGTGGAAGCTCGATGATGACATGTATCTTGTGGCGAGGTGTGAGGTTCAAAGTGTTATGGAGGTTAATAAGCAAAGATCATTTTTGACTCTGAATGCTCTTAATGAATTTGATCCCAAATATTCTGGTGTCGATTGGAGGCAGAAATTGGAGACACAGAGGGGTGCTGTGTTGGCCACTGAGTTGAAGAACAATGCTAATAAATTGGCAAAATGGACAGCTCAAGCTCTGTTGGCTAGCGCAGATATGATGAAGTTGGGGTATGTCTCTAGGGTTCATCCTCGCGATCACTTCAACCATGTCATCTTAGCCATTGTTGGATATAAACCTAAGGATTTTGCAGCTCAAATTAACTTGAATACGTCTAACATGTGGGGTATTGTTAAGTCTATCGTGGATTTGTGCATGAAATTGAACGAAGGCAAGTATGTTTTGGTCAAGGACCCATCGAAACCACAGGTTAGGATCTATGAGGTTCCTGCAGATGCATTTGAGAATGATTATGTTGAGGAGCCACTGGCTGAGGAGGATCAAGTGCAACCACCAGGAGAAGATGAAAATGGTGTCACTGTTAATGCGGGGACGGATGATGCAGAAGAGAAGGTTGATGCTGCTTCTCAAGCTTAAGTCACAGCAGCATTCATTCGACTTGCTTGAGGAAGTTAAAACTCTAACCTTTTGTGTCTTTTTGCTCCCTTTCTTTTATGAGATTATCATTTTGGTTTTGGTTTTGGATTCCTGCAAGCATAATACACATTGCTCGAGTAACTTCCAGTTGTTAAAACGTTTTGCTAGCTAGCTGGTTATGCTATCCTGAAAATTTTGAACATGAGTTCTTTCCATCAGTCATATATATATATATATATATTTGTATTGAGACATGGTTTCTTGTGGATTCTAGTTTTCAATAAGTTAGTCTGCCAAGGATTTGATTGATACACTACACCATGAGCTGATGATACCTTCAGAATGTTGAACATGAGCTAAGCTGAGCTGTTTAAGGTTTTGTTGATTGCTTCTGGATCTAATTTGTATCTCTACTTTCTACATTTCCTATATATATATATATATATATATCTTAGGAGTAGCAGGGCTCTATTCGCTATGCAGCATTCACCGGAGAAGATGCTTGCTAGTCTGGGAGAAGTTCTGAATCTGCTTTGTTATTTGGCTGCTTACTTTTAGTTGACCCCATCATCTTACTTCGGTATAAAGTAACCCGAAATTTCTTTTTCTAATTTTATTTGAACGATCCTTTTTCTCATCCGTTGATCCTAGAAGCTGTAGAATGGTACTGTGTTGGTTATTGTTTTAAGTGACCACTGTCAGATTGATTTTCTTATTTCTTTAACTTAATAATAATACACGTGTATTTCACATCATTTTACCAACATTCATTTCTATGGACCTCAAATATATAACATTACAACTCTCTTCTCTGAAGAGTAACAGGATTTTTTTGGTTGTTGGAGGGGAAAAAGTTCAATCTCTGTGGCGAGTTGGGGCGAAGACATGAGTAAAAATGAAGACTTTAAACTAAAATCATTAGAAAATGAAGTCTTTGCCAAATGGCCATTAATAAAGTATCACATCTTTTCAATAAAATGAAGGAATATCAACTCTTGAAACATTAAGAGAGGAGTGTGATAGCTTGATGTTTGGGGCGGATGACAATGGGAAAAACCGTTAAGGGATTTGGGCATGAAAATGATCTTGATGACAAGATGGTTAAGAAAGATTTAAGAGAATTGAAGTTGCTAATTATACCACTAAGATGCATCCATAGCTCAATTATAAAAATTATGCACAAAAACAAATCTTCAAAAAAGACTAGGTGGATAGTCTTTCACTTTTAAAGGTGATCATGTGGTTGATGATGCAAATGAATGTCAAAGCTATTAAGTTCCGAATCCAAATTTTCAAGTCTTGAACATGACAGTACATATACATTCAATAATCAAATGAATGTCAAAGCTATTAGGTTCGAATCCAAATTTTCGAGTCTCGGACATGACATTACACATACATTCAATAATTGGACATGACATTACACGTATCCACATATTTGAGTTAGAGTAATCCTAAAAAAAGTATTTCCTAATTAAACAAACAAAATCGTGTGTTTACATAATTACCCATAGTTGCGCCGAACGTGGAAATGGCAATTGAAGAAATGTCCACAAAAGAAAAACAAGAAATGGCCAAAATTGGAGACGACGACTGAATTCACGGTCTGCACATCCTCATATTCTCCTATATAACAACACCGAATCTCCCAAACATCCTCAAACCATTACACAGATGGGGCCTTCTTCTTCTTCTTCTTCCCTCCTCGCACTCCTCTCTCTCATCTTGCTTCTCTCCCCATGGGTGAGAGTCTCCTCTGCCTCTGGTCACGACACCTTTCTCCAATGTCTAACCACACACGCACAGCATCAGTCCCCCATTTCTGACGCCATTTTCACCCCCGACAACTCTACCTTCTTACCAACCCTCAATTCTTACATCAGAAACAGCAGATTTCTCACCCCCGCAACCCCTAAACCGCTAGTCATTGTCGCAGCAAAGCACAAATCTCACGTCCAATCAACCGTCGTCTGCGCCAAACAGGCTGGCTTAGAGATCAGAATCCGCAGTGGGGGCCATGATTATGAAGGCCTCTCTTATATCTCCCATCATCCCTTCGTCATCCTCGACCTCTTCAACCTTCGAGCCACCACTGTCGATATTGCCAGTGAAACTGCCACGGTGGAAGCAGGGGCCACCATGGGGGAGCTTTACCACGCCATTGCTAGCAAGAGCAACGTCCATGCCTTCCCTGGAGGGGTCTGCCCAACGCTGGGTGCTGGTGGACACATTTCAGGAGGTGGGTATGGGACTTTGATGAGGAAATTTGGGCTCTCCGTCGACAACGTTTTGGATGCAGAGATTGTGAATGTTGAGGGGGAGATCCTAAACAAACAACAAATGGGGGAAGACTTGTTCTGGGCCATTAGAGGAGGAGGAGGAGGGAGCTTTGGAGTCATTCTCTCGTGGAAGATCAAATTAGTTAAAGTCCCAGAAACGGTGACGGTCTTTGAAGTTGAGAGACTGATTGAAGAAGAAGCAACGGAGATCTTCTTGCAGTGGCAGGGAGTCACAGATAAGCTGGATGAGAATCTGTACATAAGACTGATGCTAAACTCCGCCAATGGGAAAGATGGGCTGAAAACAGGGAAAGTTTCATTGGGGGCGCTGTTTCTAGGGCCAGCAAACACGCTCATGGAGATTATCAATAAGCACATACCCAGTTTGAAATTGCAGAAGGAGGATTGCTCTGAAATGAGTTGGATTGAGTCGGCTCTGTTTTGGGCAAATTTCCCAAAAGGGTCAACCTCAGAAGTTCTGTTGGACAGAGCGGTCCGACCCAATACTTTTCTGAAGCGGAAATCGGACTACGTGAGGGAACCCATCACAGAGTCGGGGTTGGACGCGATATGGAAGGCGGTGATGGAAACAGAACGAGTGGGTATCGTGTGCAACCCATACGGAGGCAAAATGGGCCAGATTTCAGAGACGGAGACGCCATTTCCACACAGAGCTGGCGTGAAATTCAAAATCCAGTACTCCACCACCTGGAAGGAAGAAGGGGAAAAGGAAGCGGATGAACGCTTAAACATGATTAACAAATTGTACGAAGCAATGACTCCTTACGTGACGAAGAACCCGAGAGAAGCGTTTCTGAATTACAGAGACATCGACGTGGGAAGTAGCACGCATTGGAACGTGGGAGAAGGAAAGGTTTATGGGGAGAGGTATTTCAAACAGAATTTTGAAAGATTGGTGGACGTGAAGACCAAGGTTGATCCCCACAATTTCTTCAAGAATGAACAGAGTATCCCCACCCGCTGATCTCCCCTGAATCAGCGAAGATGATGGGTTTGGACTATGCTTTGTTTGTTTATATCTGAAAAACAATAAGTGGTTGTAGCCGTTGCTTTGAATGAATGGCTATGATACTCACGGTGCCAATCAATGAAATCAAAAGCTTTCTCACAATGAAATCAAAAGCTTTCTCAATACTTTCTTCATAACTTTTTCTATACTTTCTAGGTGAACATTTCACAGTTCTAGAAGAACGAAGAATGTGTTAAGAAGCGATTTACTACCCTAAATAGAATTATTTAAAGAAATAAAAACTTAAAACCAAAAGATTTAATTCCCTAGTAATGATAACAATTAAGTGCAGAAAAGTTTTATCATTTTTAATGAAAACACCAAATTCTGAGGACTTTTCTGCAGGCTCGTCACCTCCGTGCCACAACAAGTAAAGAACTCCCTTGGTGGGGTCTGTCGGGTCAAGGAACTACTGTCGGTGTCATTCAAAATCAACATGAAGTATTTTAATTTATCCTATGAATACTGAGAGATAAATATAGGCCATTAAATTCACAACTACTTAAAAATATCTCATCATAATTTCAATTTTATGTATATAAAAATTAAATAACTTCATGAGCGGTTCAACTTAACCTTCAAGAACAGAGGTATTAGCTGTATTACTCAACCTTGGAAGTTAAGAGAACGAACCTCCAATGGTCAATGAGAATGCCTTCTTTTTCATCGTCTTCCCCACGCCATTTCAATTTTAGCTCATCCTCGATCGCCCATGGCGATTCCAACTTCATTATTAATCCCAATCCTTACAACCCTTCTTCTCATTCTCCCTTCAATGGCGGCGGCTTCTCATCACACCCTTCTCAGCTGCCTTTCCGACCATTCTTCGCCGTCGGCTTCCCCAATCTCTGAAGTTACCTTCTTCCCCGACAACCCATCGTACTCCCCTGTCTTGAACTCTTACATCCGGAATCTAAGGTTCGCCTCCCCCACTACCCCTAAGCCCTTGTTCATCGTCGCCCCGACCCATATCTCCCACATTCAAGCCTCCATTCTCTGTTGCAGAATCCACGCCCTAGAACTCAGAATCCGAAGTGGTGGCCATGATTACGACGGCCTCTCTTATGTCTCCGATTCCCCTTTTGTGATCCTCGATATGTTCAATCTTCGATCTGTAGATGTCGACATTGAGGACGAGAGTGCGTGGGTGGACTCGGGAGCAACCCTCGGCGAAGTTTACTTCAAAATTGCAGAGAAGAGCAAGATCCACGGATTCCCAGCTGGGGTTTGCCCCACGGTTGGAGTTGGAGGCCATCTCAGCGGCGCCGGGTACGGTAATTTGATGAGGAAATTTGGGGTTTCTGTGGACAATGTAGTTGATGCTCTGATTGTTGATTCTAATGGTAGGGTTTTAGATAGGGAATCAATGGGGGAAGATCTGTTTTGGGCGATTAGAGGAGGAGGTGGAGCTAGTTTTGGTGTTATAGTTTCATGGAAGTTTAAGCTTGTTCCTTTACCTGAAACTGTCTCAGTTTTTAGAATAGAGAAAACCATGGAGGAAGGTGCTGTAGATATGTTGTACAAATGGCAGGAAGTTGCTGACAAAATTGATGAAAATCTGTTCATAAGAGTGGTGATTCTTCCTGTAAATAAGAAAACCCAAAAGACAGCAAAAGCCAAGTTCATTTCCTTGTTCCTAGGAAGTGCACAGAAACTGTATTCCTTAATCTCTGAAACACTTCCAGAATTGGGTGTGAAGGCCGAGGATTGTCTAGAAATGAGCTGGATCGAGTCTGTTCTGTTCTGGTCCAACTACCCCATTGGAACTCCTCTCAATGTCTTGCTCGAAAGGCAACCCAACTCCGAAAAGTTCTTGAAGAAGAAATCGGACTACGTTCAAGAGCCAATCTCCAAGGCAGATCTGGAAGGAATGCTGAGGAAAATGATGGAACTGAAAAGACCAGCGCTGACCTTCAACCCATACGGTGGGAAAATGAGTGAAATTGCAGAGAGCGAAACCCCATTTCCGCACAGAGCAGGGAACAAATACAAAATCCAGTACTCAGTGACATGGAAAGAAGAAGGCGAGGAGGCTGCAGACAAGAACGTGGAGCTGATCAGAGAGCTTTACGAGTACATGACACCCCATGTTTCAAAATCGCCTAGAAGTGCTTATTTGAACTACAGAGACGTGGATTTGGGCGTGAATGGAAACGGCAACGCAAGCTATTGGGAGGCGAGCCAGTGGGGAAGAAAGTATTTCAAGGGAAACTTCGACAGATTGGTGGAGGTGAAGACCATGGTGGATCCGGGCAACTTCTTCAGATATGAACAGAGCATTCCATCAGCTGCAGCATACGATTGTAATGGCAGAGGTGAGAGCCTGTGATGTGTGAATATCTGCTTGCCTGAGCGATCCATCTACTACACTAAATTGCAAAAGCGTCCCTTCTCCTTTCTTCTGGGGTTCGTTCCCGAATTATATCTGGGATTTGAGCAATTAGGCTTAATTATCCCACTAATTACTGTTAATTGTGTTGGTAACTAGATATTGTAAGTTAAGTTTGTTTCATATATCCGACAACTAGATTACCGTTGGTTTCTTGAAATAACATGGCCCCTAGATAAGCAGTTTCTATACCAACACCAAATAGATTTTTAAATTCTTTCTAGAGATTAAAAATGTTAGATGCAGCGATTTAAAAAAAAAAAAAAAAAAAAAAAAAAAAAGGTTACTTTATACGAGTTTTCTTATTTTGTGCAATAATTTATTTATTATTTATTTAATGTAAAGTGGATGGGATATGGGACATGTTGTTTTGGTGAGATGTTATTGGCGTGTTTTTGATGGACGATGTCGGAAGCCTCCGCCGCTTCCGTGACTCGTAAACGCGTCCGAATTTTCACCTCCTGATTGGGAACTTCATTTCCAACCCGACCGGGTCCAACGCCAACAGAGCTAACACGTGCCATATATATATATATATTATCGGACATTTTAGGAATCCTCAACGCCCTTTATGCTTTATATCCAAATGAGACGTGCAAAATCCAGATGATCTCGACTCCATCCAATTTAATAAATATAAGTAGCATTTTATTTCAATTAAATACTAACCACTAAACTTCAAAACAAATCATCACAAGAGAAGGTTCGGTTTTAAAACTTTGAAATTATTGAAGTTTTTGTCTTTGAAAAAAAGTCAAAAGTCAACTTTTAAAATTTATTTGGAAGTTGACCTTGGATGATTTTGTGAGGCGGGAGGTGGGTTAGGTTGAATGAGTGCTCCTACTAGTTATTACTTTTCGTTTGACATTTCAGCGCACAAATTACACGCACATATTCCATTCACATCATTTTCCTTTTTCTTTTTCGCTTTAAAATGAGAAGAATAATGTGGCACGGCAAAGGCAGGCATGTGAGTCGACAGGGACAGGCCTTCTTCCAATTTTATAATTCAACTTTAAAATATGCTAAACTTCCAACAAACCCCACCCTTATTATACCAACTTCCACAATTGCCCTTCCCTTTCCCCTAAATCTCTTCTCCCTCCCCACCTTATCTTCATTCATTTAGTTTTGCTAATTTGTAATTTACATATTAATCCAAACATAAATTATTAGCCCTCTGGAAAACGCGGTTAATATGAATTTTATTATTCCTCGGATTCTTCGTTAAATATTTTCCTATTTTTTTTTCCAATTTTAATTTCTAAAATCTTCTCAAGAAACCGCAACTTGAAATTAATCAGTATTTTTCTGTAATGTAAATAACTAATGCATTTCATTCCGATTGCGACAACCTAATTGCTGACTGTCCGCAGAGAATGCCGCCTTTGTCGGCGTTATTTTACGACTGTAAATAGCCCAATGTTTTTCATTTAATTATTAATGTGGGTGGAATTTATTAAATAAACCACCTAATAATGATTGAATAAGTTGGAAGTATTAATAGTAAAATTAATAATAATAATCACAGCTTTGATGGTCAAACCAGGAACATTTGAGGAGGAAGCCGAGTTGCATTTTGCATATAAGGCCGTGATGTTCCATAATGCAAATGAAATGAATTACACCAACTCCAACTTCCACCCAACTATGTCTCGTCTTCTTCCTCTCCTTCTCTTCCTTATCCTTCTCCGATTCTCGCCTCCCTCCGCCGCCGCAGATTCCGTCTACTCCCAATTTCTCCAGTGCTTCCAATCCAACTCCGACACCTCTCGTGGAGTCTCCGACATAGTCTTCTCTCCCCAAAATGCTTCCTACACTTCGGTTCTTCGGGCTTATATCCGAAACGCCCGTTTCAACACTTCCTCAGCGCCCAAGCCTGTGATAATCGTCACTCCATTCACCGAATCCCATGTCCAATCCGCTGTCATTTGCTCCAAGAAGCTCGGCATTCAACTCAAAATCCGAAGTGGGGGCCACGATTATGAGGGTATCTCCTATGTTTCCGATGTTGAGTTCATCGTTCTCGACATGTCCAATCTTCGCGCGGTTACCGTCGACGTTGCCGACAAATCGGCGTGGGTTCAAGCTGGAGCCACACTCGGAGAAGTGTACTACGGAATTTGGGAGAAGAGTAAGGTTCTAGGCTACCCGGCTGGGATTTGTCCAACTGTCGGCGTTGGCGGACATATTAGCGGCGGCGGCTACGGCAACATGCTCCGGAAGTACGGACTCTCCGTTGACCAAATTCTCGATGCTCGGATTGTCGATGTGAAGGGCAGAATCCTCGATTCCAAGTCCATGGGGAAGGATCTTTTCTGGGCCATTAGCGGCGGCGGAGGAGCCAGTTTTGGGGTCGTCCTCGCCTACAAAATCCGGCTGGTTCCAGTGCCGGAGACGGTCACCGTCTTCCGAGTCGAAAGAACCCTGGAACAGAACGCCGCTGACTTGGTGGTCAGATGGCAAGAAGTGGCTCCGTCCACCGACGAGAATCTGTTCATGAGGCTACTCTTACAGCCCGTTTCCAGTAAAGTGAAGAAGGGGACTCGAACAGTCAGAGCCTCAGTCGTCGCCTTGTTCCTCGGGAAATCGGAAGAAGTCGTTTCCTTGTTGGGAAAAGAATTCCCCGAATTGGGGTTGCAGAAAGAGAACTGTATCGAACTTAGTTGGATCGACTCTGTTCTTTGGTGGGGTAATTTCGATAACGGAA